CAGATGCTGACTCATGTCCCGAGTCAGTGACATCAGTTCAGAAAATGCTGAAGCGGGAATTTGAACCATTGAGGTACCTGGGGCAACTAGAGAGCTAGCTTGCATCCTTGGAGAGAAGTGGTGAGCTGCTGGTGATGGATGCTCCCCCTGAGACTGATGCTCCCCCTGTGATGGTTGCCCCCTCAGAGGCATGGAATCCTGTGGTGCTGAGGAGGCGTTGCCAGTGGCCGAGGTGAGGTGATGAGAAAGTTGAGGGGAGAAATGGCCGCCATCATGATGTTCCACCTCTTAATCAGCACGATCCATACGATTACCATCAGCACCTCCTTCATCAGTGTCAGCGGAGAGAGAAGGCATAGTGTATGGATTGGCAATCCATTCTTTGATCCTATCGGAGATTCCAATGTCAGTATCCAAAGGATCATCCTGATACATACGAACGGACATTCGAGGGCATTGGATTGGATTCCCAAAGTGAGAAAAGTAGTCAGCAGCGAAGAATTTGTCGAACACCAGGGCAATCCAGCGTGGAAAGGGAACATGATCAGCACGCACATTTGCACGTAGAAGCTGAACAAGCTGATCAAAGAATAGTGCCCCAAAATCTAATCTTTTGTTGAGAAGAATGGAGCAGACGACTTGTTGCTCATAATTGCTCAATTGATCACCACTGCAAGACATGTGACCCACACACATGCATAAAGCACCAGTGAAAAACTTCCAGCCTGGGGTCATGCACTGACGCAAAATAAGAGCTGATCGAGTACCAGCCTTTGAATGATCATAGCCCAGTTGATCAAATATTCGTTTACATTTTCAATAGTTGGAGGTTCAGAAAAGGGTTCGAAAATTGGTAACCTTAAAGCAGCACTGAGTAGTTCTGCGGTGATGAAGACAGAGTGTCTGCCATGACCAATGGTTCCGGTGATGGCATTGTTTTCTTCATTAACTGTTGCAGTATAGTAAAACTCACATACTTGTTCAGGGAAGAACTCGGACGGTACATCACTGATTGCATATCGAAGGCGGCAAGAAGCCAAGAAATTGACGAAATCATCGAGTCCAAGACCTCGATGAACCTCTGGAATGTCAGGGTTGAAGACGACATTGGTTGCCTTGATGTGAATTGGAAGTGGAGGAGAGTTTGGGGCAGGAACGACTCTTCGAGAGGTTGAGGAGTATGTGAACAGAGATGCCGCCATTGGAGAGTATTTGAGAATTCTAGGGTTTTTGAGAAAAGTTCAAGGTTTTGGAAGGAAAAATTAAACCAAGGAAGAAAGAGGTTTAAATATGGAATGAAAAGGGGGTTTTTAAAAAGGTAATAATTATCTTCATTAAAAAGGTGATGATTATCTTTATTAAGAATAACGGCGCATCGTAACAACTTGTCAGAGTAGAAAATAGCCGTTGGATAAAAGAGCCGTTGACTGAAGGTGAAACGTCAATCAGTGTTTGCGGAAGCGCTTAGCTCAGTGTCACAAAAGTTACGTGCTGAGAATATATCTCCGTCAATTCAAGGTACAACTTGCTTAATCGGGGCTAGCAAGGAGATTGGTGCATGTGATAGATACTAGTTACATTATCTAACCATCGGCACAGAGTGTTGTGACTTCATCAGTGAGTGGTTTATCTTACTGAATCATTAGACACTGAATAAGAGGAGGGTAAAGAATGGAATGTTGCGTGTGATAGATCTTGGTGTTTTGATCTAACCATCGGCAAAGATTTTAGATTCTCATCAGTGTGTGTTTTGGCACACTGAATCACAGAATCAGTGTAAGATTGGTGAGAAGGGGTAGTTGCGTGTGATAAATCTTGGTGTTTTGATCTAACCATCGGCAAAGAGTTTCAAGTCGTTATCAGTGTATGGTTCAATACAGTGAATCATTCAACTTTTGTTTAGAAGACTTGAAGAAGAGATAAAGATAAGAAATCAAACCAAAGTGCTCAGTAGAAAATATCATCAGTATGTCATCATCAGCACAATGTACATCAGCTTATAAGACAATATCAAACATTAGCACAATTTAAACGTCAAAATTAATTACAAGGAAATCATTCCCAGTTCTCCGATAATGTAAGCAGTTGATTGAGAATCCAGTGCCTTTGTGAAGATATCAGCAAGTTGCTCCGAAGTCTTGACATGTTCAAGAACAACTTTTCCTTTTTCAACATTATCTCTGATGAAGTGATGTCTGATTTCAATATGCTTTGTCTTTGAGTGCTGAACAGGATTTTGTGTGATCTGAATGGCACTGGTGTTGTCACAATATATGGGAGTCTTTGAGAACTTGAACCCATAGTCGAGAAGCTGATTTTGAATCCATAAGAGCTGAGCACAACATCTCCCAGCGGCAACATACTCAGCTTCTGCAGTTGAGATGGCTACTGATGTTTGTTTCTTGCTAGACCAGCTGATGAGACGATTGCCAAGGAAGTGACATCCACCAGATGTACTCTTTTTGTCTAAATTGCATCCAGCATAATCTGAGTCAGTGTATCCATAAAGTTCAAATGCTGAGTCACGAGGATACCACAGAGCAAGGTTTTGAGTTCCCTTCAAGTATCGAAAAATACGTTTGACAGCCATGAGGTGAGATTCTTTTGGATTAGCTTGGAATCGAGCACAGAGAATGGTTCCAAACATAATATCAGGACGACTTGCTGTGAGATATAAGAGGGATCCAATCATTCCTCGATACAGAGAGTGATTGACATCAGTTCCAGTTGGATCAGCGTGTATCTTATCAGTCTTAGACACTGGAGTAGAGGCTGGTTTGCAGTCACTGAGAGAATACTTAACAAGCAAGTCAGATATATATTTACTTTGACAAATGGAAATACCTGTCTTTTGTTGCTGAACTTCATGATCTCTGCAAATTCCTTGCTCAGTGTCTCATTTGGAGAGCCAAAAATGATGTCATCGACATAAATTTGAACAAGAACCATGTCTGAGCCTTTGTTTTTGATGAAGAGAGTATTGTCGATTGCTCCTCGTCTGTATCCATTTTCAAGCAGATACGATGTCAGCGTCTCATACCAAGCCCTGGGAGCTTGTTTCAGTCCATAAACAGCTTTGTCTAACCGGTACACGTAATCAGGATGATCTTTGTCCACAAAGCCTGGGGGCTGATTTAGGAATACTTCTTCTTCTAACACACCATGAAGGAATGCTGTTTTCACATCCATCTGATAGACAATGAAGTTCATGTAGGATGCGTATGCGAGAAACAGTCTGATAGCTTCAATGCGAGCAACTGGAGCAAAAGTTTCCCCGTAGTCGATGGATTCAATTTGAGTAAACCCTTGAGCTACAAGCCTTGCCTTGTTGCGAGTGATGATTCCATCTTTATCAACCTTGTTACGATAGACCCAGCGAGTTCCAGTGATAGTTTTCCCGGATGGTCTTGGGACAAGAGTCCAAACTTTGTGCCTTTCAAACTCATTCAGTTCTTCTTGCATGGCTTTGATCCAATCAGCATCTTGAAGAGCTGTGTGTACTTTATCAGGTAAGATCATTGAAACAAAGTTAACATACATGCAAAAGTTATTAAGTGCACTAGATCTGGTTCGGACACCATCATGAATATTCCCTATAATTCGATCAACAGGATGATCTCGATGTTCAAAGACTGATGCTGATTCCGGAAAGATAGAGACTGACACATTATCAGTTTCAGGAGAATCTTCAGCTTCAAGGGTTTCATCAGCACTTAATGAATTATCTGCTGATGTGGCTGCAATATCTTGATTCAAGGAACATGGAACTGGAATGATAGGATCAGAGGAATCAGTCTTATCTTCAGCAGAAGGTGCTTCATCGAATGGACAAGGGAGAAGCTCTTGAAAGATAGAAGGAGAATGAGTGATTTTTTCATCAGTGTATGATTCCTCATCAAACTTCACATGAATGGATTCTTCAACACATTGCCTATTCACATGAAAAACACGAAAAGCCTTTGAAATAGATGAGTACCCAACAAAAATACCTTTATCAGCCTTAGGTTCAAACTTGGATCTTGGGTCACGCTGATTTAGAATATAACAAATGCATCCGAACACATGAAAAAAGGATACATCTGGTTTTCGATCTTTCAGCATTTCATATGGAGTCTTCTTGTGAATCCTGTGAATTAGAGATCGATTCTGAGTAAAACACGCTGTATTGACAGCTTCAGCCTAAAACGACATAGGAAGACCAGCATGGATCATCAAGGTTCTTCCTGCCTCAATCAGTGTTCTATTCCTTCGTTCAGCAACACCATTTTGCTGAGGAGTACGAGGAGCTGAGAAGTTTTGTCCAATTCCTTTATTGTCACAAAATTCTTCAAGAGTTGAGTTTCGGAACTCAGTACCATGATCACTTCTTAGTTGCTTAACTTTAAGACCTGTCAGTGTCTCATTTTTACGAATCAGTGAGATAATTTCCTGTGCAGCATGACTTTTCTTCTTCAAGAAAACTACCCAAGTAAATCGAGTGAACTCATCAACGACCACTAGAGTATACTTATTTCCACCTAGTGAACGAACAGGAATAGGTCCAAACAGGTCCATGTGGAGTAGATAAAGAGGGACTGATATACTGGAACATGACTTGGGTTTGAAAGAGGACTTGGTTTGTTTTCCTTGTTCACAAGCTGAGCACATCTTGTCTTTCACAACGCTGAATTTTGGGAGCCCTCTAACTAGGTCTTGATTGGATATCTTGGATAGATTCTTGAAGTTCAGATGAGAAAACCTTTTGTGCCAAATCCAGCTAAGATTCGTCTGAGACTTTGTAAAGAAACATTGCATCAGTGCCTTGTCACTTGAGAACATGTCAAGAACATATATATCATCTTTTCTACTTGCTGAGAGTACGATGTTCTTGTCAGTGTTTACAACTCTTCCTTCCTTCTTTGTAAAGTGAACTTCATAGTCAGCATCACACAACTGACTGATAGAAATGAGGTTGTGTTTGAGACCCTTTACATATGAAACGTTTTGAAAAACCACGTTATTGCATTTGATGTTTCCATATCCCTTAGTGAACCCCTTTCCATTGTCTCCATAAGTAACTGCAGGACCAGTTTTCTTAACATAATCTTCCAGGAGAGACTTTGATCCCGTCATATGCCTTGAGCAACCACTATCTAAATACCAAAGATGCTCCTGACCCTGCAGTACTGAGAAACTAGTTAGAACACACTGACCCATTCAAAGATGGGTCATTCACAAAGTTATTTGATAATAGATTATAACACTCCTTAGGAAGACAGTTTAAAGAGTTTGACTTAAGAGTCCATTTTTCATTTCTAACTTTAATATTTTCAGCTCTTGAGGATGATTTATCAAAAGAACATTCACTGATCTTGTGAGAGGAATTACCACATCTGTAACAAACTCTAGTACCAAAGTTCTTCTTGGTGAGCAAATTTTTTGATTTAACACATTTTGACATGTAAGATTCACCAAGAGAGCTTTGAGTCCTTTTGCTTATCATTGAGTCACGACTGAATTCAGTATCAGGAGGAGTTTGATCAGTGTTAGGTGATAAACTATCAGTATCTGATTTTGACTCATTCACAGATGGATTGCAATCAGGGAAGTGCTTGAGTTGTTCATGAACACATGAAACACTCCATTTGAGATAGGAAAAGCAATAATATTCTCAGTTAGAGGGATTGGTCTAACAAGATGTGCAGGATAAGAGGTAGGATCAATTCCGGTAATTTCAACATTACACTCAGTGATACCATCAGAATTAGTAATGCAATATTCATCAATTAAACTTTGATTAATAAAAGAGTTACTGACAAACTTATTTTTGAAATTGTTTTTCATCTCATTCATGGAATAGACCTCAGATTCCTTTTCTTGTGATTTAAAAACTTTTTCAGCTTCTGCAAAATTACCCCCAAGAATTTTTCACAAGAATGTGGAATTTGAGCTGAAATAATATAATTAGCATTCTTATGAGATTTTGCCCAAGTGTGAAGCACAGTTTGTTCTTTGATCAAAAGATTTTTAACATCATCAATTTCAGCAGACAAAGATGAATTTGACAAACTAGTAATTCTAAGATTTTCCTGAGTGACTCAATAATACTATTTTTCATGGATATATCAGTTTCAAGAAGATCAATTTGATTTTGCAAATTTCTTATGGTTTGATTCTTCTTAGAATTAATGACACCCAAATACTCAAACATTTTGATTTTTTC